TTACAAGTTGTTTGAACTGAAATGTGTGTTGGCAGTGTGTGTACACAACCACCCTATAATGATAATTATAGTGTGTGTGTACACATGCGATCTAAGATGGCGGCGTACGCTGACGGCAGGGCAGGAGCTGTAGGTGTAAACGCTGCCAAATTTAATTTTAAACTAAAAACTCATCACTTTGACTTCAAAACTAGAGTCAATCAAAGCCAAAATACTGTCGATAGGACACAGAAAATGATTGTTATTGGCATAGCTTTATAGCTAACTCTGGCACAACACTGTTGTTGTGCGTTGTCCCTGTACAAATAAATTTAATAAATTAAAAAAAAATTAAAAAAAAATCCACCCAGTGTTTTTTTTTAATGTACTAAAATCTTTACCCCTTTCTCAAATCGAGCCGATCTCAGATGCCTGTTTGTGTGACGTCACACACGTCACGAAATGGGCATCGGATGACCCCTTTAAGAGTCAATACTGGATTCATCAAAAAAAAAAAAGTAATACACTTTCATTAGCTGCACACTTAAAAGCGGTTCAGCATTTACTATGTCCTCTCAGGTCTTACATAATTTCTGTGCTACTTTAAGGCGATTTAATAGAGCAGGGTCTTTTCGTTCCTTCTGTCAAAGTCAAAACTGGAGCTGATTTTATTATGATCCGCTCTGCATCTCACCAAGAAGCCTGTCAGCTTTGAGGGAATTCAGCGTGTTCATTCAGGCTGATGGGAATGGCTTTTCAAAGCTCGCATTGTTTGAGAGTCGGTTCTACAGTCTCTGCGCTTGTTGCAGAGGCTTAACAAAACCTTGGGGGTTTGCATGTCCCTGGTGAAAAGCGCCTCTTGTTTTTAGTAGTAAGCCATCTAAAGACATGGGTGCCTGGGTGGAGCATTCTGTGATTCCGGGTCCTTCGAGGTTTCTTTCATTTGCTTTGAGGAATTAAGTGTCTTACAAAACGACAGCCTTAAGACTGCGGCAGGGGCTCATAGGAGCAGCGGGGTGGAGAGAGCAGATCTGCCGCTCTGCAGGTGATGCCAGAGAGACGCTTTGCGGGTAAGAGACTGCAGACGAGCTGAGATCTCTAATCAAGGGCATTCATTCTCTACCACTAAATAAGATTAATGAAAGCATCTAATCTCTCTCGTTTTTCGGTCTCATTCTCACCGTCCCACACAGAGGTGGGTGGTGTAACTAAAATCGTGTATATAATGGTATGAATAATTTTATATCACAGCAACAGTTGTGTATTACTAAAACAATATAGTTATTTTTAATTAAAATTACTCAAAAAGATTGATTTATTGAATAATCTCGTAGTAATGCATATGAATAAAATATTTTTCACAAATAAGGTCATCTTATTTTATTAGCTTTTAATTATAGATTGCACAATATATTGGTACCTTATTGGGTATTAGCCAATATTTTTTTGGTCCGTTTTGTTTAAATAAAATGATCTACATTCTGCTCTTTATTTACTTTTTCTTCATATTGTTTTTGAATTGTCACTTGTTTTTGATATGTATTATTGACAGGAATCTGCAATGACCTTTCAAAATAACAACTGTCCCATGCTGATGTATAAATGTCTAGAGTAAGTCAAAGATGCACAGACATTACTCTTCTGGGAACGTTGGTTTAGATCTTGCTCATGCTGTGGCCCGATCCTGTTCCACATCTGATAAAGCTAACTTTTTTTTTCTCAAGTTTTCTCGAGTTTTGTACAACTTACTTTAGCTGTGCTGTGACTGCATACTGATCAGAGATGAATATACAGTAGTTGCATCCCTGTAGACCTTATTATAAATCTACGCCCTGCTTTCCAAAATTCTCATATAACAGCTTTTGGAGGAAGTTCTGCCCAGACTCCTAATGATCCGATACCTGGATCAGAGCCAGACCACTATAGAAAGCAACAGTGTGGTTCAGGATTTTCATATCCTATCCATTTTATTCATAGAGAAAGTAAGTCGGCCTCCCTACATTCTCAAACAGCGTATAGATTTGTATAGCTCAATTATTTGCAGTTCACTTTAAATATATTGTGCTTTATACTTATAATTCCTTAGTTACAGTCTAGTGAAGCATTCATATTGAAATAACTGAATTTTGTTATTTTATTGTTAAACAGTAAATGGCAAACAATAAATCTCTATACTGTTTTTTTTTGTTATAAATTATAAATCATTAATTTACATAAATCAATCCGTTATGTTATAAGTAAATTTAAGCATCACAACATTTTTAGAAATTATTTATGATAATATACAGCAATATACGTTCGCTGATATTGAATATTTAACTACATTTAAATGTTTGTTTTTTATTTATTTTTTTTTATTTAACTTCCCATAATTTTATTTTATTTTTTATTATTTTATTTGATATGAAATATTGTTGAGAATTAAAAATAAATATATGCATCACTAATTGTAATTAATTATTATCTGGAACACACTGGATGCAAACCATTGGATACATTTTTTTTTAG